AGCATCAAACTATATTGAGACTATATTGAGACAACATCAAACTACAATGAGACAGCATTAAACTACATTTAGACAACTTCAAACTACATTGAGACTATATAAAACTACATTGAGACTACATTGAGATTTCATCAAAATATATTGAGACTATAACAAACTACATTGAGATTACATCAAACTACACTGAGACAACATCAAACTACATTGAGACTACATCAAACTACATTGGGACTACATCAAACTATATTGATTGAGACTATATCAAACTACATTGGGACAACATCAAACTATATTGATTGAGGCTATATCAAACTACATTGAGACTACATCAAACTACATTGGGACTACATCAAACTATGTTGATTGAGACTATATCAAACTACATGAGACTACATCAAACTATATTGAGATTACATCAAACTACATTGAGACTGCATCAAACTATATGGCCTGAATAATGAAAATGCTAAATCTCAATAAACATGAAAAAGTTTCCATTTGCTTTAAAACAATAAATGATGCCCCCATGTGTTTGTGTTTCATGGATACAATTATAAAATATGTCAACGTTTAAAGGGCTTGCCTATAGATCAATTCCCCATCCAATCTCCCTTCACCCAAATAAAAGACCATCTGAAACAGATTCTAGTTATTTAAAAGAAACAAAATAGATAAAGGATATCGGAAATGGCGTTGGCTTCCCTCCTTCTAACGTTACTTGTCAAAGCATGCATTCAAGTAACATACGTTATAAGAATCCCAATTAGCGATAAATTCCTGAAATTTTGCGCACCTATTGAACACAGCCTTACACACATAAATGCATACGATGAGAATTTTCATTGGTGATAAATTTCTAAATTTTATAAATATCTTTAACATTCCATAATAATTGTACATTTTTTAAATAATGTTTTCGTAATGTTTCCTAAAGAATTGCCAAATGATAAACTATCGATTGATAACCTGATCTCATTTGAAATGAAAAAAAAACAACTTAACATTTAACTATTGAAAAAAAAAAAAGAAAAAAATCTAAATAGCAAATATTTTCTTCAAATGAATAAATAATTGTTTCCTAAAGAATTGCCAAATGATAAACTATCGATTGATAACCTGATCTCATTTGAAATGAAAAAAAAACAACTTAACATTTAACTATTGAAAAAAAAAAAGAAAAAAATCTAAATAGCAAATATTTTCTTCAGATGAGTAAATAAATAACGTCTTTAAAATATTGTAATTTTTTTGGCTTATCTAGTTTATAAAGTATTTTATGTTTTACAATGGGATGTTTTTATAAGCCGTTCCCATGATATTGTCAATCAATAATATTGTATGACTTTTTTGAAATTGCCAGATGTGTTGGCTCAAGTCAATTATAAACAATAATTTAGGTTTTTTATGCATTATGTTTATTATGGGCAAAAAAAAAAAAAAATTTATATATTTTGATTCATAAAAGTGTTAAGTTCTTATTTCATTTTATTATTTATTATTTTGTTAGTTTTGTTAACAACAACAAAGATCCAAAGAGTTAATTTTTACCAAAGATATATTTTATAATGACATTGACCCCAGTTATGAAACATTTATGCTAATCTTTATATGAAACGGAACTGGTTGGAAACAGATTTTTAAATGTTGTCATAAGCTGGATGGGCATGATATCTGTGACATGGGTGATTTCAACGTGACTTTAATACCACAATGATGATGAACTTCGCAATGATACAAAATTATTTTGTATGGAACGTGGTTGTATTTTCAAGAAAGTTATTTTTAAATTAAGGCTGACCGTCATTAAATTTTTGACGACTGAAACAGATCCTTAGACCGTTGGTTGTAACCAGGCGCTTGCAGTAAAAAAAAAAGTGTAGTTTGCTCAGTAGATGACTCTCAACACTACTGAAGATTGTAGTTTGCCAGTAGATGCCTCTCAACACTGCTGCCTATTGTAGTTTGCCCAGTAGATAACTCTCAACACTGCTGCCTATTGTAGTTTGCCCAGTAGATGACTCCCAACACTACTGCCTATTGTAGTGTGTAGTTTTCCCAGTAGATGACTCTCAAAACTGCTGCCTATTGTAGTTTTCCCAGTAGATGACTCTCAACACTGCTGCCTATTGTAGTTTTCCCAGTAGATGACTCTCAACACTGCTACCTATTGTAGTTTTCCCAGTAGATGACTCTCAACACTGCTGCCTATTGTAGTTTTCCCAGTAGATGACTCCCAACACTACTGTCTATTGTAGTTTGTAGTTTTCCCAGTAGAGGACTCTCAAAACTGCTGCCTATTGTAGTTTTCCCAGTAGATGACTCCCAACACTACTGTCTATTGTAGTTTGTAGTTTTCCCAGTAGAGGACTCTCAAAACTGCTGCCTATTGTAGTTTGCCCAGTAGATGACTCTCAACACTGCTGCCTATTGTAGTTTGCCCAGTAGATGACTCCCAACACTACTGCCTATTGTAGTTTTCCCAGTAGATGACTCTCAACACTGCTGTCTATTGTAGTTTGCCCAGTATGTGATAATTTGCTTTGCATCAAGGACTGTGCAAGCATTTCGATCCCAGACCCCGGGATCCTCCTGTCCCAGACCCCGGGAGTCTCCTGACCAAAGACCAGGGCGGTGAGTCCGGGGCCACTTGTGAGCCCAGTTATGCCGCTGTTCAAACGGCCGTGAGCCAAAGTATGCCCGAATGCAAACGGAGGACTCTGCCTTGGACGGACGTTGTTCGAAAGGTCAGCAGTACGAACCAACACTCGCATTGTCCCTTACATAAAGCACGGGGGGAATTGGGGGAGGTGGGCGTTGTACAATGCATGATTAAAATTCAACTTTAAAAAAAAAAAAAGAAATAAGTTTAATCACCATTAATCATTTTGTAACTTATTTTGAGGCCAACGGCTTTCTTAAATTATTTCTTGATACGCTTATAAATAAATATTTGTTCTTCAGTTACAATCATTTTATTAATAACATATCAAATCTATCAGCTTCTAACATTAATATTTATTATTTCTTTTTTTAATGTTCGATAAAAAGAAAATACACTTTTAAGTTGTTTCTTTAAAAAAAAAAATTGAGCATGGAAAACAATTTGTTAAAAACTAATACAAATCGGCAAGAAAGGAAATCGAGACAGCATGACCCATTCCCTAAACAACGAACCTGACGACTCGCTGCATGTACGCCTACTTGGTACCCTTACCCTTATACTTTAAAGGTTTGGCGTCATTATGGATGTTTGAAACAAGATGGTTTGCAGACGTAACATACGACTATCATAACCTTAAGACTTTGTCGGTTTAAAACAAGTGGAAGGGAGCAATGGCATACACACCTTTTACTATAGCAACTTTAGCAGATATTTTTCTTTTCATTTAAATTGTATATTATCCAGGGAAGACATTTTTTAACCTTATGGCTTACAGCCAAACATTTTTTTTTCTCTTTCAAGCCATGTAACTAATAGACCTAGCCAAAATTAGATGTCACAGAAGTTTCATCCCTGGATTCGACTTTGTTGAATTTGATCTAGAAAAACAAATATAACTAATATAATTTGTACACAACATGGGCTAGTAGTCTATAGACATTCATATCATGTGTAAGAGGAGTTTCAAGAACATTAGGAGAGCAAAATCACTGAGGTCAGGGTCCAGTATTAGTTGTTGAATAGTTTAACTAATAACAATGTTTTAAAAAAAAAAATCAAAATCAATTACTTTATAGTGAGAGTAAATAAACATAGTAATAACATTAAACAGAACATGATAATAATAATAACATTAAACAGCACATGCTAATAATGTGATTAAACAGAACATGATAAAAATAACATTAAACAGAACATGATAATAATGACATCAAACAGAACGTGATAATAATGACATGAAACAGAACATGATAATAATTACATGAAACAGAACATGATAATAATGACATGAAACAGAACAGGATAATAATAACATGAAACAGAACAGGATAATAATGACATGAAACAGAACATGATAATAATAATATGAAACAGAACATGATAATAATAACATGAAACAGAACATGATAATAATAACATTAAACAGAACATGATAATAATGGCATGAAACAGAACATGATAATAATGTGATTAAACAGAAATGATAATAATGACATGAAACAGAACATGACAATAATGACATGAAACAGAACATGATAATAATGACATGAAACAGAACATGATAATAATGACATGAAACAGAACATGATCATAATGACATGAAACAGAACATGATAATAATGACATGAAACAAGTCATGGCTATTGTTGCATAGTTTTTTTCTTCAAAATGATTATGTAACACCAGCGGCGTAACTAGGGTTGGACACCCCCCCCCACCGCCCCCGTCGTCCTGGCCCAAGAGTTTGCTGCCCATTTCCACGAAAGATTTCTGCTGTCTGCTGAAAAGCCACCCCTTTGTATAAAGAAAAAAGTGCGTCCTGGGGTGGACAGCCCCTCCTCGTACCACCTTCCTACGCCCCTGTCTAACGCCGCTGAGAACGGATTAAGAATCTCTAACCAAAATTTCGAGTAACCCAATGAACTCTTAAGCCTTTCACTAGCTAACTCCTTAAAGCAAACTTTCTCTTTGTGAAACAACAGGTCAACAGGAGAGTGTGTGTGTGTCCGTCCCTACGAGGCCATAACCAGAGGGTCCTCAAACGGATTTTATCACGAAACCAGTCCTTACGAGATTTGCTTCACATTGGATATTTTTGAAAAACGTTATGCTCCCCCCCAAAAAAAAAAAATCCGTGGGGTAGTTTTATCGTTAACTGAGGACCCCTTGTACGAAATCTTTAAAGAAATACACACATTTTTGTAGTCCCCCACCGTCTTCCCCCACCACTTGCGAGGTTCGCAGCGTTTGCCCACTCCGTCTAATCTCAGTTGAGCTCCAGAATTAACAAATTAGATCCTTGACGATTGTACAAGCAGCGCTGGTGATTTGGAAGTGCGAGCCGCACCATTGTTACACCATTGTTATACCATTGTTACACCATTGCCACGCCGTCATGAGGGCGTTGTTACTTAATAGTTCAGCATGGTGGAAGTGCTGACCATAGTTCGGCAAATCATGTGTTAGGCAATAATCCTTCATTTAAACCTGAAGGCAGAGAGGAATCTTTCAACTACAAAAACTTAATCGTTGTTAAATTATTATTTTTTTAATATTAAATTTTTTTTTTTTAATTTTTAGAAAGTCAAATAAGATGAGGGTTTTAATTATTTCAAAGACATAATCTTCAGTTAGGCCTGTTGTCTCTTTTCTTAAAGTTTTAACCCTTGAATGGGTTCAAAATCGAAATCTGAAATGCGAGACAGTAGTTTCCGTGAGATTCTATTTGTGTATACTTGAAATATTTATACAGAATAACTCACGCATAAATTGAAAATAAATGAACACGTTTTCTTGGCAATTACCGGAAAAATGAAAGCCGTCTGAAACGATTTGACTTGAAAATGACATGCCAGAAAATACGTCCTGAAATGTGGATTGTGTACCTGTCACTTGTGTGTCATGTGATCACAGGTGAGTGAAAGCTACCTGTCCACTGTTTTTTTTTCTCTAATGCCGTTACATTAAGTTAAAATCTTTAAGATGACATAAAATATATACATATGACAGCATATTGGTCCAATAAGATCATATGTTGTGACGTCTTTCTTCTTTGATTCTGTGAGAGGCGAAAAAAGTGACTTTTGATTTGTTGTCCTTTTTTCCTTTAAAGAGGGGTCTCACATTAAAAAAATAAAAATTAAAAAATAAATCAAGTAAATATAAATTTGATTGATCAAACTATTATAATCTTTTTTACCCTAACCGGAAGTTTACAAAAGTTATGACGCTATATAAAACCACCTAAAATAATAATAATAATAATAATGTCATATTATTATCATATTATTGAATCCAGCATAGAATTTAAAGGTGACATTAAAAATTCTATATTTCCCGGTCACAGCTGCAAACTATCAAGGGATAAAATTACTGTCATTGTTTAACAGACTAAAAAAATTTGATCAATTTTTTAAATTATCAATAATCATTAAAAATAAACAAATATCCTCAATTTAAAGCCAAATATTCGCCGTTCATCGATTATTTGGAATTCGAAATTCGTATGAAATATAGATCAAAGGGCCCAAATGGTATTTATTTTTAAAATATCAATTATAAAATAACTTTAAAATCTTCCAGGCAGGCTCGTATTTCCATGCCATGGCTTTGTTTGATGATCTAATGATATTGGGAGGAACCCATATAAATGTAACACATTCCAGGCACATGCGTCAGCAAGTTGTATCGATGGGCAGACAAAAATCAAGAGCATTTGAATTCCAGTGAAATAATTGTTTGAGTAATGACGCGCAGTTTAGATAAGACACAGAAGTGACCAAGTAAAAGGTAGACTATGATATTATGTTATGTGGACATTTTTATCTGCCTCTGAGAGTATCAGGATATCATGTAAAGCTGGCGGTAAGCACATCTGCATTTTTCCACAACGCAGCCAAACACAGCAGCAGAGCGCTATGAAGCCTTCAAAAAAATTGCATTATTCCCCAACCCCCCCCCCCAACCCCCGGGGATAGAATCTGACATCCCAACCAGTTAGCAACAGATCAACAGCCCTGCTCCCCGAAGATCATCCGCATTAGCTTTTGGCATGGTGACCATGTCAGAGGCACAACGACAGGAAACATGTCGTCACACCGCAGGATCTCAGAAAGTATTACATTTTATCAAACTCGCTCTCATTTAATAATAATGTTGATTTTGTTCTAACCACCCCCCCCCCCAAACCGAAGCCACCACCATCAAGAGTGACCAGTGCCCATCACAACGACAGGAAACATGTCGTCACACCGCAGGATCTCAGAAAGTATTACATTTTATCAAACTCGCTCTCATTTAATAATAATGTTGATTTTGTTCTAACCACCCCCCCCCCCAAACCGAAGCTACCAGCATCAAGAGTGACCAGTGCCCAGAGGACCTGGTCAAAGAAACCCAAAACTGTTTCACCGCATTGTCGCAGTCTGTCCACGCGGGCTCAGAGTCGGGTCACATGAGTCAGTCCGGCACAATGACCTTGGACTACACACAAATCAAAAATTATTGTCGGGAGTAAGTAGCTACTCTGTATACAGTCTAAATCATTTAATATATTTAGCGCTGGATATAGGTATGAGCAAAATAAGTTACAGATTAGCGCAGTCCCTGGTTAAGATGCGACCAATGTTATAGTGTTGTCCCAATCATTTAGTTACGTTTTAAAAGCGTGTTTGTAATACAATGATTCATTGCCAGTTTGATTATTTTTCATATTTCTTAAATTCCATTTTTTAGAAACGTAAATATTATTTAAATGATGAATTATGCATGATTTTTTTTCAAAAGCATATACATTTAATTCCTTCAATAGCATTTTTTTCTCCACTTCAAATACGCACACACACACATGCACACACACACACACACACACACACACACACACACGCACACACACACACGCGCACACACACGCACACAAAACACTCACATTATTGCGACTGCTTTGGAGTTTTAAAAATAAACAGTTTCATTAATTTGATAGTGGTGGCCACATGACCCAGTTTGTGATGTGTGTGGAGGACCTCATCTCCGAGTGTGGTTCCACCCAGGCCGCTGTTCTCGACAGACTGGTCAGCCCAGCGCGGGTACGTGCGGCCGTGCCAGTCCTGTGTCAGAATCAAGAAGGTTTGTCCTCCTTCACATCCTTACGTTTTAATGAATGATTTTTTTAATGTTCTTTTTTTTGTTTTTATGTAACTAAGTCTTCTCCTTACTGAAACTCTCTTTATTTATGATGTGTTCATCAATGTTACTTTGTCAACTCCATCAAACTCTGCTAAACACTTGTTTTAAAGTTTCTCGGTACTGAGCTCATGGACAAGCGCCACCAGAATGCTAGGATGTGACGACGAATAATGAAAGGGAATATTTTTTTTTTAAAAGTCAAGCGAACAATTTTCTTGTTTTAGCGATTCACCTTATAGTTGTGGGCAAATGTTTGCAGAAAGTCAGTTTAAAAATTTTTCAGTGGATCCGTTGAACAGAAAAAAAAAGTTAATTTTTTTTTTCGTAGTGGAATGTGTTGATAAAACGTGTATTAATTACACCATGAGGCAAATCTATGAAAAAGCGTAAATAGATTTCAGTAGATTAGACAGTGGAAAATTTTAGCTCGGAATTAGCAAACAGATTACTGTAAGTCGTAAAAAAACAACAAAATAATTAAAAATAATGTTTTTTAATTATATTGATTTTAGAATTATTTTAGAATTAAGTCCTGTTACCAGGAGGATCTCTTCAATTTTATTTCAATTTTACTGTTACTATTGGTATAAAAATACTTTCTCTAGGAGGCCTAAGGCCCGTAAACTTTTGATGTATATATTTTTGCTGTCTAAAGCACCCCCCCCCCCCACACACACACAAAAGTTTCAATGTTTCCTTGTATGTGATAAGTAATTCGATAAATACATCACCCACGGATGATTTTATTTTACAAAAAAAATGTAACAAATTCTTTTCTTCCTTCAAGGGAGGTAATATAGGTTTAAACCCTTTTAATTTTCTTGTTGACATCTATTTGGTGTCCCGCCAGAGATTGAGAAGGCTGGCGAATGCATGAACACGGTCATGGGGCAAGATTCACTCTGCAAGAACCAGGCCTACGACAAGGTCAAGGCCGAGATGGCGAGATCAATTCGAAACGTCTCGGCGACTTTTCTCATCCAATGCAGGTGAGCCAGCGTTGTGCACGTCCAGTCGAGGGCGGATCTGGGGTTTATTCATGAGCGGGTTAGATGTGTGTGTGGGGGGGGGTGACTAACTATATTTATATATCCGTCAATTTATTCAGTGCGGTGGAGCAAGAAGGGGGGTGGAAGGGGGGGGGCGGTACTTTCTATGTTGTGATAAGGAGGGCTGGCATTTTCAGCCTAATGGAATATTAGCGGCTTTTTTTGGTGGATCGGGGATGTAATCTCTTGGCCTGCCCCGGGAGGCACTAGCCACGCCAGCGATGCAGTGACCATCTTTTTGTTTATACACCTTCACCCCATTGAATTATAATCCCGTATTTATTTGCAATAGTTTAACTGTGTGATGTAAAGCAATTCACTAATATGTTTACTTTCCAAGTCTATCACGTGATCAAAAAAGAAAAGTGCTTATTTGTTCTTGTGTAAGGAGAGAAAGAAAGAAGAAAAAAAAACAGAAAACAAACCTGCACACAAATAGACTGTAAAAGAAAACTCATAAATAAAAAAACTTTAAATAAATTAATCACGTATAAAGTAATTCTTCTATTTTTTGTCTCCCCTTTCTTCCCAGCTTTTTCACCTCCCTGGCAGAGTGCCAGCAGGTGGCGCTTTCAAAGACATGTGGGCGTGGTCTTGGAGAAACGCATGCACGATTTCTCCTGTCGTTCATACCGAACTCTTGTCACGACAGTAACACCACCACGTCGACGTCAGCCAATAACTTCACCGGGAGTAACGTCATCACCGATGCCATGACAACCGCTCCGTCTAAAAACAACACCGTGCGACTTCCTGTTCTCAACCCGAAAACGGAACAACAAGCCAAACTGGCAAACAGGACGGAGCCGGATGTCCACAGCGAGTCGGTGACTCAAACGGTGGTGAAGAAGACGAGGAAGGACTCCAAAAGTACTTTGGGCCCTGGGAACTCTGGTCCGATGTTGACAGCCTCTAATATTTACGTTTGCGTATTTGTGTTCTCTGTCGTGGTTCATGCTGTCACAGAAATATGTCGAGATAGAAATTGACTAACTCTGTAATTTTGAATTGATCGCTTTCTAGCGTCTATTTCAAAACATCTTAATTGTATATTTTATTTTGTTTTTTGCTTGCATGCATATGGATTAGGTTACCACTATGTTGGTATGGGTATGCAAAACTTACCTCGCCTAAAACATGATTCCGGAAGACAAATAATGGTTTGAATAGTTATTTTTTTAAATTGTCTGTAGAAAAAAATACTTTTTAAAAATTTAAAGTTCGTTAAGTTATTAGTCTAAGTTTTTTTAAATGATGTTGGAAAAAAAATTGTGTTCATTATTTATACGTAAACAGATGTAAATTGGTTATTACATTCTAAGATTATGATTATGCTGATACAAAAATTACTTAACGAAAATATATGTAAACAAGAAAATAAAATTTATTTTTTAAAAACTCTTCTCTTTTGTAATTATATAATAAGGAGAACTATTTACTACACAAAGAGACATTTAAAAAAAACAGTTATGTCTTAAATTGCCACCATGTTTTTAATGACCCCCCCCCCCCACGACACAGATTTTCCCTATGTATTTAGATGTACTGCAGGTTACGTTAATCGAGAATTAAAGTTATTTCGATGCATGTAAAGCCCCCCCCCTACCCTTTCCCCAGACCCTCCACCTACCACTACAAACACAATGGTAATTGGTTATGTCATGACTGACAGTGCTAACAAATACTGACAGTGCTAACAAATACTAACAGTGCTGTATTATGTTTATAACATTTTGATGAATCTACCAGTTCAACAGTTCATTAGGATTAAAACAAATCAAGGGAATGAAAAAAATATAAGTACATCGATCTTATGGAGTAAATAACAAGTTTAACCATTGGATCATCCCACTGAACAAAGAACGATAATCAGTCTTAGCCCTCGGAGACATGGGGTTNTCAAAATCTGTTTTTTAGTAATTAATCTTGAGGGAATTTTTTTTTTTATTCTCTAGATCTTTTTAAAAATCATTCCCCCCTACCCCAGATAATCTTTGTTTATTTCGATTTTGTTCTCAAGTAAGTTGGGGGGGGGGGGGCAATCGAGCAATTGTATATGTGTAATGTAAAGCAATTCACTAATATGTTTATTTTCAACGCTATCATAAGATAAAAAATATCTTTATTTTCATTTTTTTTAAAGGAGAGAAACAAAGAAGAAAACAGGAGAAAAACGTATATTTCAATCGCATTTTCGTCACACTTAAGTTATATTTGAGTCACATTTCAGTCCCATTACATTTTCGTCACATTTCACTTATATATCGGCATATTTTTAGGAATATTTAAGTCACATATCATTTAAACATTCAGACGCGGAGTGAGGCAACAAAAAAATAAGAAGAAAAGGATAAATGTAATTGCTATCAGCTTAGAAATATCTTATACTAGCTTTTTGTATTTGTTTGAAACCTAAAACGGTATCAATTTTGTTGCGTCAGCCTGCAGAATATAGCCGCATTGTTTCTAGTGCATATGTGATGCGAATGGTTTAACTTACTTTCATGAGAACAACTCCACGGAAAGCCTATACTATTTCCTATTATGCGTTTGTTAAGCATGAAGCCAAGGAGGGTGAATGTTTAGTTTTGCCTCCCCGAAATAGTAAACACTCGCCCCCGATATCTCAATCCGATGGCGTCATAAAGAACACAGAGATTCAAGGTTCATATATTTAACATATCTGTGATTAAATATCACTTGCAAAGTTTTATCTTCAAGACTTTAAAATCTTCTCCTCTTAAATCTTCCAAACCCCAATCACAGTAAAAAAAAAAAATCTAACGTCACTAAAGACATCTAAAATTAAACAACCTGTAAGAACGCAGTTATTCATATAAATGTAATAGCGAGCAAAGGAGGGTGGGGCTAAAAATTTGAAAAAAAAAATGTATACAAGTGACGCACTTTATGAGAATACCAATTAGTGCCCCCCCCCCTTTTCCATGCTCACAGCTGCACATTTTGTTTTCACGCTCCTGAACAATATATTAAATTATAAAGACCATTCATATAAATGGAATAACGAAGAAAGGAGGGTGGGGGTAAAAATTTGAAAAAAAAAAATGTATACAAGTGACGCACTTTATGAGAATACCAATTAGTGCCCCCCCCCCCTTTTCCATGCTCACAGCTGCACATTTTGTTTTCACGCTCCTGAACAATATATTAAATTATAAAGACCAGCCCGCTTTTACACAGCAGATTTATTTCATAAACAATTTTTGAACGTCATGTCTTCATTCACAGCTTGAGCCTCTGCCCCACCCCTCCACGCACGACCAGTCTCAGTGGACTAACTTCTCCTTTTTTCTTCTCCTTTTCCCTATTTAATCTCTCACCCACTTATTTTCGGTCACAATTCTTTTGCTACCCTCTCGGATACCATTTCTCATCCAACGGCTATGGTTTTTAATTTTATCTTGTTTTTTCTGTTGTTTGTTCGTTGATGAAGGCTTACTCGCCGACACGTTCGTTGTTTTGTTTCGTTCCTTTTTTCAGATTTGACCTCACTTTTTTTTTTTTTACTAATTTGTAAGTTATAAAGAATACTCGAGACGATGCGGTTCAAACAGTGACACATTTTAATCTCGACATTCACAAAATCCACACTACAATAATAAATATATTTTACAGAAATATGAAGATAACTCGAATCACATCACACAAATTTCAATTCCTACTATACTTTTACTTGAAAATGCAGTTAACAAAATCCTGATGCATGTCAGCAGTCTCTGTTGACCTAACCATCATTACCTTCGTCTTCTATTATTCTATTATCCATTCCAACACCCTGATTGGCCAGTCCTCTCAAGTCCCGACACTCCGTATAGCAAGCATACACAACTCAAAATGTAAGGCGGGCCGTAAACTAAGGTTAAATGGATTGTGATATCAATACTTGGGGAAAAACAACAACCGCCCTTCGTCAATGGCTAAATATTGCGCAAGTCAGCCTCGTTAGGTTTAAGTCAGGCTCGTTAGGTTTAAGTCAGCCTCGTTAGGTTTAAGTCAGCCTCGTTAGGTTTAAGTCAGGCTCGTTAGGTTTAAGTCAGCCTCGTTAGGTTTAAGTCACCCTCGTTAGGTTTAAGTCAGGCTCGTTAGGTTTAAGTCAGCCTCGTTAGGTTTAAGTCAGCCTCGTTAGGTTTAAGTCACCCTCGTTAGGTTTAAGTCAGGCTCGTTAGGTTTAAGTCAGCCTCGTTAGGTTTAAGTCAGCCTCGTTAGGTTTAAGTCAGCCTCGTTAGGTTTAAGCATCAATTTGTCAAACAATTCCAAACTAAGGTTAAATGGATTGTGATGTCAACACTTATTTGCCGTTAGAGAATGAAACGCATTTCAATGCATTACGTTATACATTAATTGTGCTCACTTTTTTTAATAAAAATTAAAACGAATAATAACTAGCATATAAAAACTGCCAAAACATACAACAGCATCCTCTAATGTAAATTATGCATACTAATAAACTCCACCCCATGTCCGTTTGAAGAGGGGAGCCGAATTTGACAGCCGCCCTCAGCGCAAACTTTAGTGTGGTGCCAATATAGTAAAAATAATTTTTAAGGAATGCCGAAAATCATGGCAAGACATACAAAAATCAAATACAGTTTTTTTAACCAGTGAAGCAGGCGTCAAATGTTGTTTTTTTTATTTAACCAGTGAAGCAGGCGTCAAATGTTGTTGTTTTTTAACCAGTGAAGCAGGCGTCAAATGCTGTTTTTTTAACCAGTGAAGCAGGCGTCAAATGTTGTTGTTTTTTTAACCAGTGAAGCAGGCGTCAAATGTTGTTTTTTTAACCAGTGAAGCAGGCGTCAAATGTTGTTGTTTTTTTAACCAGTGAAGCAGGCGTAAAATGTTGTTGTTTTTTTAACCAGTGAAGCAGGCGTCAAATGTTGTTGTTTTTTTAACCAGTGAAGCAGGCGTCAAATGTTGTTGTTTTTTTAACCAGTGAAGCAGGCGTCAAATGTTGTTGTTTTTTTTTAAAATTCGATGACACATAAAGTATAGATGTATTTATTGCTTGGGGGGGGGGGGTGTCATATACGTATCTATAACGTGGTTATGTATAATGCTCTATGGCAGCAAGTGCTTGATTTAGACCTGCGGATGTCACAAGCCAGTGAACATTTTGCCTTGCCTAGGGGTGCTGCCAAGGGGGTGAACCCCCCCCTCCCCCCCCAAGGTGATAATTTAATTTATATATAGGGTTAAATTCTATAAAATCGAGTTTTCCATTTTGGCAGTTCACCCCCCGGCAGCATTTAGTCAAGGCACGCAACAGTTTAACCCTGCCCCACCACCTTCTTAGCACATTATTCGTATCCTTCCCTTGAGTTGAAGTTAAACTTTTGTTAAATATATAGACTAAGAAATGTAAAAAGTCTTCTTTTTTTCACATTCTAGGTCCCTATTGATTGACATATGAGTTTGTACTTTTATTATGGTTATCAAATGACGAAAATATTGTTCTAAATTTACCCAATGATAGTTACCCTCTTAAGGCAGGTTTCAGACGTGTGTTTTCCCCTTACTTGTTAATCTTCTCTTTTGTATAGGCATGAAGGACCCCGAAATACCCATTAAAACTATACGTATGATCATGACAAGAACTTTCAAGACGTTAGAGATATCACAATGACAATAATTCTAGGCATTTCCAAAAGGATCAAGTGTATATAAACAGCTGCAAGTGTCAAATTGCACGAGATGGTGCATAGGTGACATTACATCAGCTGAAGCATAGGTCACATTACATGAGGTAAAACATAGGTCACATTACATGAGGTAAGAAAATAGGTCACATTACTTGAGGTAAAAAATAGGTCTCATTACATGAGGTAAAACATAGATCACATTGCGGTGAGGTAAAATAATGGTCACATTACTTTTAGGTAAAAAATATGTCACATTGCACGTGATAAAATAAAGGTCATATTACATTAGGTAAAACATAGGTCACATTACGTGAGGTAAAAAAGTAGGTCATATATACAATAACTAAAACTTATGACACATTACATGAGGTCAAAAATAGGTCAATTACATGAGGTCAAAAATAGGTCACATTACATGAGATAAAACATAGATCACATTACGTGAGGTAAAATAATGGTCACATTACGTTAGGTAAAAAATATGTCACATTGAACGTGATAAAATAAAGGTCATATTAGATTAGATAAAACATAGGTCACATTACGTGAGATGACAAAATAGGTCATATTAACATTAAGTAAAACATGGATCACATTACCAGTTACGTTATAAAAGACATATTTTAGGAGACGTTACACGGGCCATTGTGTTTTAATAAGGGCACACAACAGTGACATTTTAGCTGTGACGCCGTCATCAAACTCTTGACCTGAACTTGGAGAAACTGGACACTCTCTGACACCCCTGGTGTTTATAGGTGAAGCCCCCATTGCAGGACCCCGGATTGGGTCCGTATGAGAGTCATTGACTTCATCGTGGCGTATTTGTAGATCACCTAGGCAACGGTTGACGGCCTGGTCTTGTCTCGGATCCTCTAGTTGTCCCGGAACGTCTTCATCTGCTGTAACATTTATCCTGCCCAACAGATCGACAACGTCAATCTGCATAAACCTCATTAGCATCTGGTCGACCTTAACCCCGTCGTCTGCCAAGCCCAGCACAATGTGCGGCTCGGGCTGGCCGTTCGTCTGACAGTCCATCGTGATGACTGGAATGTACTCTAAGACCCTCGTGAAGAGACTGTGGAAAAGATAAGTGTTAGTGCAAATCGATGTGTATTGCTGTTTCATTCAGTGTAAACTATTTGTCAACTTTAATTATTTTTTTAACGTAACAGTTCCCATAGCAAGAGATATATGTGTATGTATATAAATGAGTAAGTTGAAAGAAGATTAGTTGTAAATAGGCGGATGGGAGTTGAACTATACCACGAGATCTCTTGCAATGGATAATATTGCTGACATCCTTTAAAAACATACTTCCAGTTTAATAGTGTAGAAACATTATATTTCAGCCATCAAAACATTTTGATGTATCCGTCACGGAAATGAAATGTTTAAGCCTTTGAGTGAGAATGGCAAATTTTAATGGATCACACATGGATTTATGGGAATTACGGGGTCGAATATGGATAGTTTGCCGACGGTTGCACTTTGAAGGGGGTGGGGGAATGTTTTGAAATCTAACAAATGAATGGTCCCTAAAGAATTTTTTACAGTAATAATATGGAACAGTTTGATTTGTTTCCTTTCAATTTACTTCTGTAAAAAAAAAATATAGTGGTGAGATGTTATGTGTTCCAACCTTGACCTCTTGTAGGGTTCCCCTCTGAACAATATGAGGACCACTTTTGCTGCAATGATTTCTTCGACATGCTGGCTAAGCTCAATTTTTCCAACATCCAGCCTCTGCAAATAGACAATACATGTTAAAATATCGAGCGTCTCAAAATGAAACATAATGATTCAGGTTTGTCGCAAAGTCATTGCAAATCAAACTTTATCATTTAAAAAAAAATAATTTGTTTAAACGTAATAGACGTATCAGAAAGCCACATGACTCATCGGTTTTCAATATTTAAAATTAAAATTTAACCCCCCTTGAAAAATAAATTCAACTGAATAATTCCGGTGAATCAAGTTAAATACAATTTCACACTATTGTCAAAGGGATTTGGGGGAAAAAACACAATAAAGTTTTTAAAAAAAAATTAAACTCCAAACTATCCGTTAGTCTCACCTCTTCAATGGTATCAACAGCCAACCCAAACTCCCCAGACAGGATCATCTGTAACGTGTTCACCTTCTCCCAGAAATGGCTGCCCGTGTCTTCATTTTTGACGTCGTAGACGATTAATACGTCTAATATTTCCTTGGCTTCCTCTGGTGGATCCGGGTTATCGTTGTCTCGCTCCGCCGGGTTGGTTTCGCTCTGCTGGCGTTCATAGCAAGATGAGAACAAAGCTTTCAGTATTAGTTGAGCGGCTCTCAACTCGCGAGAAGCCAGCCTAGCGGCCGCTGCGTACAGCTTGACTTTCAAGACCAGCGCTTTAAGCGGGTCTGCGGATACGACCGCAGACGGAGCCGAAGAAGCAAAGTTGTAGGCATCTTCGTATCGCCCTGACTTCAGGTAGCACTCAATGGCACTTTGGAACACGTCGGGATCATTTAATTCGTCTTCACTCAGCAGTCTCAGTTTTGTGATGACAGGTGGAATTCTATCATACTGACCCACGCGCATCAAGAGCTCTATGTGCTTTTTAATCCCTTTGGGTGAATCTTTGATCTCCTCATACTTTGTTTCCAGTGTCTTAAAGGCGTTCCCGACCTGTTTCTCGTAGCTTTTCATTTCAGGGTCGAGATTTGCTAGGGTGGCCGACAAACTCACGGCATCCATTAGTTTGGTCTCGGCGTCTTCATTTAACTTCTGCATCTCTTCGTCCGTTCTTCCAGGCAGCTTTGCGAGGGCAAGAAGACAGAGTCCGGCCTGCTCGTATGCACTAGTTAACGTGATGGAATATTCTGTAACTGGATTTTGATCGGTCATCCGGTGGATTATTTTGTTAAACTGTTTAAGGGCGAGGTCTAACTCCCCACACGTTCTCAGTAAAAGTCCAAGGCTGTAGATGGCCGGGATGTTGCCCTCACGGGACAGTTTAATCGCCTCTCTGTAGCAATCGAGCGCCTTAACTACCAAATCATCATCTTTCCATAAGTGAACTTCTTTAGCTGGACTTCGCATAAAGTTTCCGCAGTTCCTCTGTTTTTGACAGCCTATTCCACCTTGGTCTCTTTTTGGTGTATACGTGGTTTCCGTGTGTTTTGGGAGTCTTCCCCGATCGTGCGAGTCTTTGGGAAAGCATTGATTGGGATATGTTAAGCTCTTTAGGTTACGCGAAGGTTGCTTTGGCAAATACTCACTATGCTTCTCATTTGGCTTCCCGTGATGAAATCTACGGGGAGTTGCTTCGTATAAACTTGAGGACCCCTGTTTCCAATAAGTTTTATTTTTATCGAAATTTTTACCACGAGATCCACCCAGCGTCATTTCTCTCATTTCTACAGGACGTGGCACCATTTTGACATTTTTCTTCGCCCTAATTTTAGCCATTCTTTCGTAACACATTCCCAGCTGATGGTAAGTTGTAGAATGTTTTTTTATGTCTAACGCTCGCTCCAGTAGATACGTTCCACTTTCTAAGTTAGTAAAACGTAATATTCGACCACATTCAGTTAGAGTTAGCGCATCATTAGAGCAACAATCCAAAGCTTTGTCAACTAACATGGGAAAGTCGACTTCACCAAATATTTCCTCGATATCTAAACGGCTAAGTAATATATCAGCATGGCTCCTCATGACCGCCAGCTGTGAGAATGCTCTGCCTTTGAGGCGATTGTCTAAAGACCCATTGGTCACATCATAAAGCAGTTCTGCGGCAATCTTTGCGTGTTCTTCCACTGTTCTTCTGGGGGACGTGGCCAAATGTAAATTTCCGTGCGTTGCTCGTCTGTGGGTTAAGCCCAGACCGAACTTCCACAAATACACTTCTGGATGCCTCTCTATAACCCTTCCGTACAAGTCAATGGCACGTGCTAAATTGACAGGACCCCCCAACCTACTAAAGCAATAAGCCAGCTCTGCTTCAACTTTCGACATCAATATTTCCCCATCACTTCCATTTCGCAAATGTTCCGCTTCTTTCAAACACTCTTCGGCTTCTCTTTCATCACCGTCGTGCCACAAGATATAAGCATGACATACAAGCGACGTGATATTTTTCCTTTCCGACAGAGCAAGCGCTCTCTCGTTGATTCCTTTGGCATTTTCATAGTCTCCTGTTTTAAATTCGATCCATGTGCTGAAGTTAAGTTTAACGATATTTTCCTCTGGCGGGTCATCGTCGGCCTCAAATTCAGTGGCCAGTTTTATCTTAATGGCCCGTACTCTCTCCTTCCCTCGCAGTGGGTTCTTGGAAAACATGCAAGGAAAGGTGGCAGCCCGGGCCGCAAAATCGGCTTTCATATCGTTGTTCATGTTTGTCCTAGATTTAGAGAAATGAATGCAATAGAAAAGAGTGTATAGGTTTGCTGGATGATATCACTTTTAACAAATCAGTCATATTAAGTTCGCTTTTGTGTGATAAGCGCATAATCATCGGACGGCTAATTGACCCAATTCCCGACAACCTATTGAGCTTAAACTTGTCATAAAGACTCGCTCCCAGTGATAACACATACTGTCCAATTTTTAACCCCAGCCCCCCAAAAAATCAGTTTTTCCTGCATTTCAAGGGGAAGATGAATGATGACACCACTGATTTCATGTAATAAAATTCCCGATAATTGCACTAAATAGCATTCTTACTTTAAAGATATATGGAACGTGCGTTTGGTGCGCAACGTTTTCTTTTGTTTTTTTCTAAAATTTTTGGTGCAATCAATCTGTGTTGTAAAAGCGGTTTGGGGAGGGGGGGGTCATTAGAGTTTTAATATAAAATAAAATAATAATAAATGAATATAAAGGATTTAAAAGAAAAAAAAAACACTTGCTTGTAAGGGTTTGTTTAGTTTTTAAATCTTTTTATAATACTTCTATTCTGTTCGTGTATTTCTGGCTGTGTGGCATATTTTAATTGACCCATTTTCCATTAACATAACGAGGTGAAACCTTAGCACACAGACTCATTGCTGATGACAACACATTCTTTCAAGTGTTCAGCCCGATCTCTAACACATAAAAATCAGATTTTCCCGTATTTGAAGGCAACAATAAATAAAGTAGGGAAAAATGATTTTGTTGGAGAGTTTGAGGAAAAATAATCAAATTTTTTTTTTTCACATTTTTTTTTTTTTTGCCGACGAATTGCATTATTACTTTGTGTACTTTTGATTTTTTCCCTACCGTGTACTTATATATATATATATATATATGTAGTCTCTATGTTGGGTGCACTGTTGTAAATAAAAGTATGTTCATAGCACCAAACGGAAAATGAAAGTCCTCTGGGTTTTTTTTTTTTTTTTTGTTCTGTTTTTTCTTGGTCAAAATGTATTTATTTTATCACTGTAATGAGGAAAGACAATAACATACACCATTAAATTTATAACGTCCAAACCATCGATAGCATTGCTGTTATTTAATGTATAATTTTACCCACTCATCACAGTATGACCCCTCATCGGTGCCCTCTCGTTAGTGAAAAAACGCGATGAACTCCCAGTAAGCACAAACACATCATGTATGTTTGCAGACTGCTTATCTTTGAGAAAGCTTTAACACTCGGTAACTAAGAAGGTTGTTCTAACAACAACAAAAAAAAAAAAAAAAAAAGGAAATTTCATCCAATAAAATGGTGAAACAGAGGTCTGAAACAAGTCAGTGTGCAGTGGCGAATTATATTCAGTAACGAATGATCTTGTATTACAAGTTGTTAAAGCTCCATCTTGTTTCACTTTCACAAGATTCGGGGAAAAACTCGATCGATGATTCACTGTGTAATTTCAGGCGCACATCACATTGCATAATGTTTGTCACAGTGGTACCAGCTATTGGGAAATATCCCAAAATATTGGGTATTCCCCACTTTTGGTGGCATCTGGACAATTTTTTTTTTTTTATAAAAACGTAGAAGCCGTGGTGAATTTCAAGTTTTTGGTAAACATTTTATGAAAAAAAAAATATTTAAAAAAAAAAAAAAAGAGAAACTATAAAATGTCAAGGGGTTTGATATTTCTTTAATTTGTTTCGCTTTATTAGGGACACGGTTTACACATTTTAACAACTCTGATCAGCCGTTCATATATAGATATACGTTTTGCAGCCCTGTCGCAGGCAACATGTTATTTTATTCAATAAAGGAATCAATGTTGTCGTGAAAGTCCAAATTCAAGAGTTGTACTCAAAATAAATAAAATATTTACTCCGTGTCCCCTCTTAAGATAAAAGAAAAAAAAATTACCCATTTGAGATAAAGGAATTATCGTTCTCATTTTCACCCATCGTAATTAGTAATGTTAAAATCTTTTACTTCGGGGAAAATTGATAATTAGATTTAGAAATTTATGTTTTAAACCAGATCTTTATTTCTACAAACAATTATGAGTCACACAGCAACAAATGCGAACGGCGTTACTTCCCTTTTCATTTCGTATATATATATATATATTTGTTTATATATATGTATATTTGAAATTGTTATTTCGTTAACGCCCAGCTGTTCTCCTACGTTTGATAACTTAATTCTTCCTTTGATTTATATGTGGAACGGTAGTTTCGGCTGAACTTCTCCCAGGAGAAACTTGACTCCAGGTTACATTGTGCCCTTCTATTATGCTCGTGTAGCTCTTCTCTTCTTCTTTATTTTGAGGGCCCACGATCAATGAATTGATCATTCTGGCTCCTATGTTTCAGAGGGGTTTGCGATGTTACTGTGCATGGGTTTCAATGGGATGCTTCACTGGTTTCGAGGGTGACTCAGCAGGGGTGTTATGAACCGGGGGTAGAAATACAGGAGGCAATAGACACAAATGTGTCGAGTGTAGCTGCCTCAACTGTTGCTTTTGGAAGCTTGTTTCAGTCCCCTATTTGTCTTCGGCAGGAATGAGGAGCTCCTGTACTTGGTTCTTGTTTTTACCAGTCGGAACTGTCTGTCGTGGCTTCGTCGCAGTCTAGATGGAAGATGAACGAGTTTCTGTTTGATTCCGGAGCAGTGGACCAGCCCATTTTTAATCTTGTACAACATGGTGAGCCTGGATAGTCGTCGTCGTTCTTCTAATGTAGACCAGCCCACTGTTTCCAGCATGCTGCCAACACTTGAGGTGTTTCTGCAGCGGTTCATGACAAAGCGTGCTGCCCGTCGCTGGACCGCCTCCAACCTGTCGATGCTTTTCTGGGTAAATGGGTGTCAGACTGTAGAAGCGTACTCTAAAATAGGCTTTATAGGCTTTTTCTTTCACGCTTGAGTTTCCGATCTTCAGATTGCGCCTTAGGAACCCCAGGTTCTTGTTTGACCGGTTGCACACACTGTTAATGTGCTCGTCCCAGCGGACCTCTCTTTGAATGGTAACACCCAAGTACTTTACGGAGGAAACTGGCTCAAGAATATGGCCATGCAGTTCGTAAGAGTGGTTTAGAGGGAATCTGCTTCTGGAGACTGACAGGGTCTGGCACTTGACGGGATGAAATTCCATGTCCCAGCTCATCTCCCACTCAGCTAACCGATTGAGGTCTTGTTGAAGCTGGCTCTGGTCAGAGCTGTTGACGATTGTCCTATATACCGCCGTGTCGTCTGCGAACAGTCTTGCTTGAGAGGTCAGCTTCTCGGGCAGATCATTGATATATGCTAGGAACAAACAAGGGCCTAGCACTGAGCCCTGGGGGACCCCTGACTTAACACCGACAAAGGAGGAGGTTTTGCCATCTACCACTACTGCCTGGCATCGGTCGCTGAGGAAGCTAGAGATCCATGTTTTGGTAGTGCCTTGGATCCCATATCTATGCAGTTTGTGTAATAGCAAGCTATGGTTGACACGGTCAAACGCTTTTGAAAAGTCCAGCACAAGCACATCAGTCTGCTTGCTGTTCTCCAAGTTGGTCGTCAACTCTTCAGCAAATTCAAGGAGTTGGGTCTCGCATGATCTGTTGACTCGAAAGTACACACTGTTAATGTGCTCGTCCCAGCGGACCTCTCTTTGAATGGTAACACCCAAGTACTTTACGGAGGAAACTGGCTCAAGAATATGGCCATGCAGTTCGTAAGAGTGGTTTAGAGGGAATCTGCTTCTGGAGACTGACAGGGTCTGGCACTTGACGGGATGAAATTCCATGTCCCAGCTCATCTCCCACTCAGCTAACCGATTGAGGTCTTGTTGAAGCTGGCTCTGGTCAGAGCTGTTGACGATTGTCCTATATACCGCCGTGTCGTCTGCGAACAGTCTTGCTTGAGAGGTCAGCTTCTCGGGCAGATCATTGATATATGCTAGGAACAAACAAGGGCCTAGCACTGAGCCCTGGGGGACCCCTGACTTAACACCGACATAGGAGGAGGTTTTGCCATCCACCACTACTGCCTGGCATCGGTCGCTGAGGAAGCTAGAGATCCATGTTTTGGTAGTGCCTTGGATCCCATATCTCTGCAGTTTGTGTAATAGTAAGCTATGGTTGACACGGTCAAACGCTTTTGAAAAGTCCAGCACAAGCACATCAGTCTACTTGCTGTTCTCCAAGTTGGTCGTCAATTCTTCAGCAAATTCAAGGAGTTGGGTCTCGCATGATCTGTTGATTCGAAAGTCATGCTGACAGTCACTGAGTATATTGTGTCTTTCCAGGGGATTCATGACTGCGCTTACGATTATGTGCTCCAATAGTTTACATACTACGCTAGTGAGGGATACAGGGCGGTAATTGGCTGGGTCGTAATGCTCTCCTTTTTTGTAGATTGGAGTGACATACGCTGTTCTCCAGTCAGTTGGAACGTTGCCCGTGAATAGCGACGATTGGAAGAGGATTGTTAATGCAGGAGCGATTTCATTGGCCAATTCTTTTAGCACTCGTGGTTTGATGTTGTCAGGACCACATGCCTTGTAGGGGTTAATGTTTTTAAGGAGTTCCAGCACACCCTTCTCTGAAATATGGATATCTTCCATGGAGGGGTAGGCTGTGCTCATCATGTTGGTCTTCAGAAGGAACTCAACTTCTGAGTACTCCCTACCATCCCCAAAGACCGACTGGAACTGTTGATTGAGTACGTCCGCCTATTCTTTGGGTTCAGACGTCAACTTGCATTCCCATCTCAGGGGGTAAACCCCGATGTTTGTTGACCTTTGATGCTTGACATAGCTCCAGAACCGCTTTTTCTTGGCGGTTGTATCTTCCTCTGAGAAGATGCCGTTCAGAGAGTTCCAGTAGGATCTGCGCAGTAAGCG